CCTTCAGTGGGAGACTGCGGCACCCACGGTGTGGGACGGAGAGATTTCGCAGGTCTTTCCTCCCCACTGCTGTCAGACTCCATAATAAAGACTTTAACTGATCAAGCACACACATCCATACATATGCAATAATACTAAGTGCAATAATCCTTTCTGTCATCGTTGTATTTTTACTCAGTTGTATATAGTATTTGTATTTGTATTCTATTTTTATCTTATTGTATATTTATTTATTTTATTCTACTGTATATAGTATTTTATTTTATTCTATTCTGTACAGTTGTGTACTGTATTTATTCTTATTGTATTCTAATTTTTGCCTCATAACTTTTGCACTGTCCACTTCCTGCTGTGACAAAACAAATTTCCCACGTGTGGGACTAATAAAGGTTATCTTATCTTATCTTATCTTATCTTAAGTTTAGGTGGAGTTTATTTTCGTTGTGTTGACTTTTTCGTACTGCGTACTAGCTAGCATGACGGGGTTTCTATACAGCTGGGTGGTGCTATGTTACTGATGTTGAACTTTATTTTGTTCATAAGGTTAATTATTAGAGTTGCCAACCGTCCCGTAAAAAACGGAATCGTCTCGTATTCAGAGAAAATATTACGCGTTTCGTATTGAGGTGAAAAGGAACAGTTTGTCCCGGACTTCAGCTACAATGACAAAGACACAAAGCTGGAGTTACTCTGTGTGTTTGCTGCACAGCTGCCTCTTCTTCTCTCATCCTCTCCCCCTCCCTCTCCTGTTTCTACTTCAATCATGAAACTGATCAATGATCAGCTGATCGGCTTTTCTCTCTTGTTTATTTATTGTCCACTTTGCGCCAGAAAGAGGAAACCAGCAGATGTTGCGGTAAACAACAGCAGTACTTTTAAGCTTGATCAGCTGTTGTTAGAATTTATTTAATATTAATTTCTAGTATCAGCTGATGTTGGCTGGAGCCACAGCTGTAAACCTGCTGGTCATGATATCGGTTTGAATATGTGGTGAGAGTGAAACATGAAGATGAAACCAGGAGATGTCCTTACTGAATCATCAGAGCTGAACAGGTGATGGAGAAACAGGTTTACCTTTTAGGTGACATGAATGAGTTGAAGGGAAGTTATGAACTGTTTCTGAGAGATAAATAACACCAGGATCCTTTTCTAAATAGCTGACAGCTGGTAACTCTGCAGGGGCGGGTCTAGCAAAGTGTTGCCAGGGGTCCATGTAGGGCATTTAAAGGGAAAGGGGGGCACAAGGAAATACTTTCTTATTCTCATTTAAAATGTCTCACTTTTAAAAAAATAATTATCTGAGTCTTACAACAAACAATTGATAGATTGATGCATATATACCATCAGAACAGTGTACATCACTGTCACAACAGCGTTTATTTTCATTCAAAGGCTTTATGATTTTTCCTATAATGGTGGGCCAGTCTCTAGTCAAAATGCCCGGGGCGATTTTTTTGTCCCAGTCCAGCCCTGTATGCAGCTCATCTTCAGTCTGGTGTTACCTACATCTTCCAATTCAGAAGGCAGAATTTCCGAGTTCTGAGTACAATCGAAAGCACCACGACTGCAGTTTTTGTGTTGGATGTAAAAAGCAGGCTAGGATAAAATCAGGCGTGGGATTTCTCTCGTGGAAATGTGCACATTATTTTTTCCTTTCTATTGGTAGGTGGCACAGTGCACTTGTGGCAAGTAAGCAAGCTAGAAGACTGGCAATCTTGCTGGGTATCCAGTTACGGAAGCAACACATTAACAAGAGAATTCTGAGTAAAACCAAAGTTACTTTCCCTAGTAACTAGTTACTCTGAAAGTAACGAGTAACTTGAAGTAACTGAGTTACTTTTGATAGAAGTAACTAGTAATGTAACTAAGTTACTAATTTAAAGTAACTTACAACACTGTAAACAGCATACTCAAATAAACCTCCCATTCTTAATCCACATGGTTTATTTTGATGTTAGCTCCACCGTGTGCAGCTATAACAATTGAAACTCTTCTGGGAAGGCTTTCCACAAGGTTAGAATTGTTAGCAGTAATTGTTTATGGCAATTTTTTGAAAATTCTGGAAGAAGTACATTTGTGAGGTTTGTGAAGTCCAAGTTCCTGAAAGACAACCCCACACTATAATTAACACAATGCAGTCAGACCCGTATCATTCTCCTGGCATCTAACAAATCCATTGCCAAATGGAGAAGTGTGATGTCTCAATCCAGAGAACATGTCTCCACTGCTCTCTATAGTCCAGTGGCAGTGTGTGTTACACGACCGCATCGAATTCAAAGATCACTGAGCTTCTGGACACTCTGGTGTGCAACCTGGCGGAGCTGGATTGACTAAAATAATAATGTCCCAGAAGGTTTTCTAGTGGATTAGGTCAGGTTGGTGTGGTAGGTAGGCAATGTTATCAATTCCTTCATCCAGGAACTGCCTACATACTCTGAGCACATGAGGCTGGGCATTGTCATGCACCAGAAGGAACTAAAGACCCACTGCACCAGTATACAATCTGCAAATTGGTCCAATGATTTCATCTTGATACAAAATGACAGTCAGAGTGCCATTGCCCAGCCTCCATGGATATGCCTCCCCAGACCATCACTGACTCACTATCAAACCGGTCATGCTGAACAATCCATGCTCATTAGACTTTCCTGGGAGGCACAGCAAAAGTGTCTGAAACAAATTAACAAACACCTCTGACACTTAACTGATCAGATCTATATCCCTAAAGTTTAAATGAGTTGATGCTATACTCTGATCAAAAAGTGTTATTTTCTTAGCCGTGTATATACTTTATGTAAAAATAATATAACTGCGTGGGGAAAAAAACAAACTGTAACATCAGGTCAAGTTTGATTATCAAACTTATTGGAGCTTTGGTGGATTATAAAGATTGTGGTGGGGAATTTTATTTTGCTCTCTCTCTTAAAGTCTTAGAGTATCCAGAGTGAAATTGTTTGCTTAGCTGTACCATAAGGTTTTGAGCAAAGGTTTTAAAGCAGTCTGAAGTCCTTAGTGGCAGTAATAAACTCTGATTACCTTGTTTCACCACTGTGCTGGTATAACTCAATGAGTTGAACAGGTGACATAGATGGAAGATATTTACTCCCTGTCTTCTGCCTGCTCTCTGTTGCAGCTTATGTGCCGTCTCTTTGCTAAAAAGCTGTACATATGATGTATGTCTTTCCAGCTTTAACACATTACTAACTCAATAGAGTGCAGTCAGGTCTACTACATTACATGTACTATATGCTCATAAGGTTACTGGAACCCTGCAAGAGGCAATACAGCAGTCACATTCACAACACTATAATCTTATTGGAATGTACATGTATAAATTAAAAGTGAAACTTTCTTAAATATACTTGAGGTGCTGCGAAAGCTATTTTCACTCATGCACTGCAGCCTGAAATTATGTCGACATTACCCAGTGGGGGTGGATGAGAGAATGCAAATGTCCATCTTAGTTAAATGGTGTTTTACTGCCAGCTTCCTAATGCAAAGTCTGTGTGATGTCTGAGCCCAGGTAATAGTGCAATGTATTCACACCTTGTGTGTAGTCATCCTGTGTGCTGCCTGATTCTCTTGAAGTTTGTAGGAGTACATGCATGAAAACAGCTTAAGAGACAAGCTGGCTCACAGTTATTTACAATCATAAAGAGTGAAAGTAATGGTCAAAGAGACTAGTGGGCAAATAAATTTGCAGATGCTGTATATATATATATATATATATATATATATATCTCACAGTGACTGCATTTCTCAGTGACTTTTTTATATGCTAGACATATAAAAATGGCTAAAATACAGTCTCAGTGAATATAAATACCATAATAAAAAAACTAACTCATCCTATATGATGTCCCTTTTTGCCATAATATACTTATTAAGGGTTTACGTGACATAGTTGTACTTCCTGTCATCCTTACTTTACTGGGCTTTAGAAATTATATTGTAACAAATGGGAAATATAGCACTTTTATGTTATTCTAATGTAATTTAGTTTAAGCAGCTACAAAGTAAATAACTGTTTACAGCACAGAGATTCAAGCTTGACTAAAGACTCCTTATAAAGATAAAGACTCTCTTTGTAGCATCCCAGTGAGGCCACATTTTACCTGAGGAATTCATCCCTGGATCATTTACAAATATCCAGAATACCGCTGTGATTCTTCTCATCGGGTACCCTAAAAGATCCTGTATGAAAACAATGCTGTCTTCACTGCACCGTTTCCCCATAAAGTTTAGGGTTTCATTTAAAATTTGGCGGTTACTTTCAGAGCCTTCCATGGTCAGATCAGTGAGCTACTACTAAAATCGTACGTAACATCTGGATGTATGAGGTCTGCTGATTGATGCTTAAAGATCCTGGTTAAAGGCAAAATGACAATGTGCTTTTGAGGATGTGACCCCAAGTCCTGGAACTCACTTCCACTGAACATAAAATCTGTGGACACTATTGATACCTTTAAGAACTTAAGCTCCACCTGTTCAGGGTTACCTTTATTTAGTTTATACCATCTTAATTGTTGTGTTTTTTCTGTGTTGTAAAGCACTTTGTGACTTCTGCTTTGAAAAGCACTTTGAAAAAAACTTCATTCAATTCAATCTGGATCTGTTTTGCTAAAAGAAACACCAGAGTGATGAATGCAAGTTTATTTGATTGTCTTCTACCTGAACAACAATTAAAATGGAAGAGCAGAATGAAAAAAGAAACACTAAAATTAAATAAGCCTTTTAAAAATACCTGACACTTTGTCAGGAGTTATAGCAATCCATTTTGCAATAAAAGGCCTTGTCTACTCAAGAAAAACAAGAGTGTAAACCCTAATCACGCTGAATGCAGGGCACTTTTATGGCTCACTCTGTTGAGAAGGTAACCTGTACTATTGTAATAACATGTCAACTTTCATAAACAGTATTATAGAGTGAACTTTTCAGATAACTTCAGGTCTTTACAGCGTTGACTTGGGGTCTGAATTCTGGTGTTTTAACATACTCACCACTGATCCACTTCGCATCAGGATCATGTATTTGGAATTTTTTTTCAAAAAGGTCATCCAATGTCAGTGGTGTACCAAATAGTTTACCACCATCATCTAAAAAGAAAGTCAAAAAGAACAACAACAAAACAGTTGTTAAGTATTTTCTGGTAATTTGGTGTTTAAATTAAAAAACAAATCTATAATTAAATTTCTTCAGTGCAGTGAGGAAATGTAAGATGACATAAAGATAATTAAATAATGTTTAGTCATACTTGCACAAACGCCATTTTTCATAACTGATTGGGAAGCAAAAAATTCTGCTGAGTGACAACTCAGGCAGTAAATCCCTTCCAGATGTTGTCTTACACAATCCTTTCTTAATTTTTTTCATAACCTTTTTCTCACACTTTCCCAGATAAACAATTAAAACCTGAAGTGATTTACCTCAGTCATTGTCTTCTGTGCTGTGTACATTCACTGCAGTGAATTAATAAATATGCTAATGAAGGCAGAAAAACAGGAGTTTGCAGACAGTATGCAAATTAGGAAAGACACTATTGTAATATAGCCAAGACTGATCCTTAAATACAAACTAAATAAATATCCACTTTTTTGCAGTGTCAATGCTAATTCTCCTGGCACAACTTACAAGTGATGGTAATTTGTCATTGTTCACTGATTTTTAAGGTGCCAGTCAAACGTTTGCCCCAGCAGCTATACACTCATGTTAGGCAGTGATAAGGGTACATTACATGTGTTTGTAAATGTGCATGCAGATCTGATAAGAAAAGGAGAAGTTTTATTTATCTGATTGTTTTACAAAATGTTTAAAGCCCATAAACATTCTAAAGTGATATCCACATCAAGGTTATCTACTTTTCACCATGTCAGCTGAATCAAAGCTTCAATTCTGAGCATTTGGCTCAATAAATGTTATTTACTGTATGTGCATGTGCGAGGGACTAGTCCTTGAGATTAGCATTTGTTTTTTAAGAACATATGCCTACACAAAACTACAAAATTAAATATAAAATTAAATATAACATGAACCTACATGTGACAAAATAAAACAATTTATTGTTGACAAAAGTCAACGATAATTTATTAACTAGATGTGACTCATCTACATGGGGTCTCACCTTTTGACAGCAGAACAATGGACAGTCCGATGAGTGACAGCACCACTGCAATAACCAGCAGAGAGATGCCAATGCCTTTCCAGTTTCTGTCTGTTGCAATAGGTCCTACGTTCTACACAACAAGAAAAGAAATCAGAGAAATAGAAATAGAATATCAATCATAATGACATATTAATACAATTATGATCATGAAAATAATGATGATAATACTATAAAATAGTAACATATAGGAGATAAATATATTAGACCTTCCTCATCTGCGGTTTGCTGAATTTTTAGCCACACATGCTTACGTGGAAGTTATGGATCATGCAAAGTATTAATGGTAGAACACACTGAGCTCAGTTCAGATAAAGGCCAATGTTTGTACCTAGCCTTCTTAAAAGCAGAATTCATATTAAGGTGGAAATGTTTTTAGGAAAAACATGGTACAACTGAACAATTTCTGCTCTAATTGTTTTTATTCAGCTCTTTCTAAACCGTTGCTTTCAATATGAAATTACTCAGTGCTCATGGCTGCAACACTTGAACACTTACATTACTTTTATTTTTACTATGCACATTACTGCTTACTTTTCAGCCACTCGGTGTAGTTTTAATGAACCTGATGGGGATGAAAATAAAGTACTTGATATACAATTCTTGGTAAGAAAAAGTAAGTAAAAAGAACCACAGAGGATCCCAGTCATATTCAGCACCTTGTGAAGGTCATTAATTTGTCACATGCTCATAGAAGGCTAGACTGAAAGATCTGCTTTCTCACTACCTAAAAATTAAACATTCACAATGACAAACATCATGCTTACTGTGTTATGTTTTCCAGATATAGATTTTTTAATGTGTACAATGTGTTTATGAATGTATGATTGTTTATTAATGTAATGTGTTTATGCTGATTTCCCCCTTCATTTTCACTTTCTTGGCTCAAATAAAGCTTTTCTCATTAGTCACTCTCAGTAGTTTTTTCTTTTTGTTCTACAAAGCAATTTGATAGGGAAGGCATGATTCACACAGTCGCTTTGCAACACTTCATCTAGAGATGGGATTTCTGCAAGGCACTGATGTGAGCTTTAATCTTGAAGGACCATTAATTAATGATTTTTGAGGCTGATGAACTGACAGGTCTTCCTTTCCTGGGGCGGTCCTCACGAGAGCTGGTTTCATCAGAGGTTTTTGAGAAGCTTTGAAGTTCTTCAAATTTTTTACACACTGAATGACTTTCATGTTTTAAAATAATGATGAACTGTGTTCCTCCTTTATTTCATTGAGTAGTTCCTGCTAAAATACAGACTACAGAAGAAGCTGAATTGGGTTAAGCAGAACAGAAGTAAAATTCCACCCATTAACTTTGACAAGAAAAGTTAAGAAATAATTTCACCTAACTGCTCAACCCCATATCATGGCAAAGTGTGCATGCGTAGACACGCCAGTCCACCATGCCTCTCCAAAGCGTGAAATGGACATACATGCAGAAGTTGCGGTACCAGCAACACATTAAAAGCCAAGATGTTGCTAGTGACCAACAAAGGTATGAAGTACATTCCAGGGTCGTTCTGTGCCACAGACAATTAAGCTTGGTGGCTAACATGTATTTGCATCTGAATGTGTTAATGTCTGTTTAAAGGCTCTCCCTTTGTTATTTTTATATTGGTTTGAAATAAAATATGTCCCTCTGCTGTTACTGCAGCTTGCAAGTCCATTGGAATGGCAAAGCGTGAAATGGACAGTGTGTGTATTGCACACACTCTGAAACATACTGATACTGGCGTGAAACACTTTATGAAGCTCCAGTTTAAGGCAAATACTGACTGCTTACAAGTATGTAAAACTATGTAATTTTAAATATGTTATTTAAAAGTTAAGATGTCTCTAGTAGGGCTGAGTATAGTCACTGATTTCTATAATGGATTCAATTTCGATTCACAAGGTCCCGATTCGATTCATCTCTGATTCTCTTGTGAGACTTCATCAGAGGTGTAAGTGTAACACTGGGTTACATAAGCATCAGAGCAGGTGCCTTTGTGTCAAAGGAACTGAGGATAAAACACAGAAAAACATGAAGGAGATTTTCCTGGCCTGACTTTTTATAGCAGATAACCTTAAAAATATTCTGCAGTAGATCATAAAATGAAGAAAACCATGAATCAACATATGAACATTACCTGATGCTGCTGAAGTGAAGCAGAGCAAAGTTAAAGAAGTTTTTATTAGAGACATAACTCAATGTTTTGCAATTTGGCATAATTTGTAAAAGTTCAAATTTCTTTGGTATTGAACAGCAAAAATTATAATTTCTTGTCAGATGTCGTTTTTAAAAAAATGATGGTGAGCAATAAGCAGGTAATTAATGCAGAAAACTGAGATTTATGATGGTGAACTGATCTTGAAGAGCTGTGCAGGAAGAGTGATTTTATCATGGTGGGAGCAAAACAGCAAAAGTTAGAAGGAACTAATGACAATGTTTTTCAAACATAAAGCATAGTTTTGATCTGCTTTTGCTGCTGGTTCAGTGAATTTTGGTTGTTTTTTTGAAACCCACCCCAACTCTCCAGTACTTTTTCTGCAATAATTAATACAAACCTTAAGCTTTTAAACTCAGTTTGATATTTTATTTTCCTATTTGTTTGTTTCATTTGTCCTTTCCAGTTTCTACTGTTCTTACAGTTTGATATTTTCGAAATCCAAATATTCATGAATTTCAGGCACACAGTTGCTTGTTTTGTCAAGTAGTTTTTTGTTACTTGAAAAGGTTAGGGCTGTATTATTATTCATGCTATGCAGTTACACAAAATAACAAATGTGTAGTAGTAAAAAGCAAAATGACTTGGCATGATATTCATATAACATTTCACCATACCAGGCTGGTTTTTTACTGTGCTGAGTTTGATGAATGCTTGCATGTAAAGGGGTCAAAACCGCTCTCTGTAGACCAGACCCATTTCTGGACATGTCTCAAACTCTATCTTCCTGTCATCAGTTATACAGCCTTACTTCATTTGCTTTGACAGAGTGGTGTTATAAATAAATCTGTCTCGCCTACAGAGCCGCAAGCTGCTAAATCTCTTCTGTGTGTTTATATTTGCTTTCAAAACCCTTTAATTAGGAATATGATTCCAAGACAAACATCCTGGAGCTTCACCATCACAACATCGCCTGCATTTCTACTCTACAACTTTAACCATACACCCAGTCCCTGTGGCATATAGTTATTAAATTTCTGGATCAGTCACAGCATAAAAGTAATTTTTCCACAGTGGACACTTCTCCTCTGGTGTTGGTTGAGCATGATTTTGTTTGTGGCATCTTTGTTCTCGTTGTTTTGTTTGGCGTCATTAACTAGAGAAATCCTCATTACACATCAGGGAACATTATATGTCATTACGATTTCCCCCATCACATCGTTATACAGTATTCCAGTCATACACTGAGGCTTTTATGTTCCTCATATCCTGCAATTCTGGGAATCCCATTCTCCCCTGCTGTGAAAATGTTGCTTGGAATAAAATGTGTCCATATTAAAAAACTGATTGAAAATGCCATTAAATAGCTCCAGTTTGAGAGTCTGAATCCAGTTTGATGTAGGTCACTGTGAGAATTCCAGAGCACTTGCAGCCAAGAAAACACAGAAGCAAAAACAACTGCACCCCTCTGAGAACACACCTTAAGATGTTTATATTTAAAGCTGTAATTTTATTGGACCATTGGTTGCCCATTTCCTTTGTATAATTTGTTACACAATGTACTTCCACTTTCTGAATGAAATTTAAAGAAAACATTAACATAAAAACCCATGAATTAAATGTTCTCCTCACATTAGGATTAAAGCTTTTTTGTAGGAAATATCCCATCCAACCATTTTCTTAATCCTTTATCCAGCTCAGGGTCAATGGTGGGGGCTACAGACTACCCCAGCTGTCACAGGCTGAGAGCGACAGTACACCTCCTACATTCAATCCTACTGACAATATAGAACTACCAATTATCCTAACATAGTGACCTAACAGGAAGATCACTGGTTCAAGATCAGAAAAAGACACAAATCTCTGGGAGGCTAATGTTGGGAAGGGCATCCATGCTGTGAAGGAGATATGCTTCATATAATAAATCTTTGCAGACACAGGGAGAAAATACAAACTCCGCTCAGAAAGTCCCTAGCCAGGAACCTTCTTTCTTTGAGCGTTCCTTTATATTTATAAAATATCTGTAGTAACACAGCATTTAAAGTTATGTCATTACAAAATTCTGTCCAATCAAAAGACAGCATCCATCAGGATTTTAAGGTTGTTAAAAAAAACATTTCCTACACCTCAGGTACTGAGCTGTCACAAGCAGAAGCTCAACAGGACTTAATTAACTTCATATCTAATATCGGCTGTGGTATCCAGCAATCAGACTGTATACAGGTACTGAAATAAGCAACTGAGATATTACCCATTGGTTTATGAAGTACCATTTTGAACCCTCAAGTTTAGTGAAACATACACCATATTAGAGGTTTACATTGGCAACAGGAACTGGGAATTTCCACTAGCAACGTGTCAGGCATGTAGTGATGCCTAACTATTGTGGCCTCTGGTGTGGATGCCCCCTTAACTGGATCTGGACAAGAGGTCAATGCTCCTGTCCAGATTATAGTCCTCATAGAAGTTGTTTTTAAATGGGAGTACACTGGATCCAGAGATTTTTTTGTTCCCAGACAGCACTTTGTACCTCAAGACACATGTGGCTTCATTTTTCCAAGCCACTGGCTATGTCCATCATTTATATACAGTTTATGATTTTAACTTGTAAGTACTGCTCTTGCACTCAGTGGGTAATGGTTGCAATGTAATAGATGTCCATTGTTGTCAGGTGCTTTAACATTGATTCTGTATAGCAGCTCGCAATGATTTGTGTGAATATGATTGACTATCATATCAAATATAGATGTATAGATTTTTCTGACTCTTTTGAGTCAGAAAAAATGTGATCGTATATCTCCCATATGAGACACTGGAGATAGCTTCTCCTCATCTTTAAGATGCCAACGCCTTCTGTTTCTCTGCACCATGCCAGAGGGCTTCCTGGTTACAAAGCAACACCATAAATCCAAACAGATACTCAATACTGCAT